ACTTTCCAAAATGCGCTGATTTGCGTTGTGACCAAGTAATGCTTTCAATATTCAGCAAATAGTGTGTAATGATGTTTGTGCCTAACTTCGGCACGGAATAAGCCAATTATCGTATGTCCTAAGCTGTTGTTCGAAGTAGCATTTCATACAAAATCTAAGGAGTGACAGCCAACAACGCTGATTTATTTGGTTAGATATTAGCATATGGACCAAATCCTTAGCTAAACTCAGACTCGCCTACACCATATGCTTTGTCTGTTTGGAACTAGTCACACGCTTGTCATCGGCCTCCAAACGTTTGATTTATTGTTGATCCATCACAACCTTAAAGTCCAGATCTGGCAATAGCGGCCTATACGGACCTGGCATGGGCGACTCAATGGTGAACACGAATACAACGACAGCAGGAAAAATAAAGCAGTCTTCTCCGAGTCAGTGACATACATTGCAGCACTTATGTCTCAATCAGGATATTTGTGGAAAGAACACTAAGCAGATGGCTTCTTTAAAAACTAATTGCACGTTCAAAGTAAAATTTTCTACCTTACCCTTTCGGCAGGAGCTGGAAAGTGCATTCTCAGCAGAATCACAAAGATTTTGAGCTGAATTCCGCAAGTGATTAATGAGCAATTTGTACGTGATAGGGCAATTATAAAAAATTCCGGACTATTACAAAACAGTAATTTAACCGATGTCATTTACAAGCGTTGTTTCAAATTTCCCAATTGGTTTTCAACTTATTTCCCTATGCACAGAGCCATCGTTGCGCTCATTACGTATTCAGGGCGTGAAAAGCAAAACCGGAGAAACAAAAACAAAACAAGCGTTTTGAGAGCAAACGTGACATTTTCGACTAATCCTTTAGATGGCTCCCAAAATTAATAAATATGAAAAGATTTGGAGTTTTGAAACACAACCAGATAAGTATAATACAAGTGGCGATCTACAATGATGAAGTATTACATGAAGAAAATTGTTCGCTTTAGCGAGAAACGTTACAGATGGGAAGAAGAAATTATTTGGATCTCTCTTGGCACCACCCTGTGGATAATCTAGCTGGATTAAAGGCAGACCGATTGCATCCGACGTTTGGATTAGTTGGCAGTAAGTTTGTTATTGTAAAATTGAAGTTGATCTGAAAGTAGCACTGGCTGTAATGAACGTGTTTTCGTATAGCAGCTGAGCTGACAGTGAAGAAAACATGGAGATTATTTAGATTTCTTCACGTACAAATAAATCCTTGATAGTTTCAACTATAGTAGGTTCTTATCAAAAATAGAAAAAAAGAAAAGCAGTAGGCAGAGACCTGATAATTTTTAACAGAGAATTCATCTTATGGTAAGATCCATCCATGTTGAGAAATCGAGAGCACTCTACGCTTGACTCATCCTTATTAGTTTTGAACCCTCGACAACCTGGCTAGTAATTAAACCACACGTTCGGTCACCAGTGGCTGAATAACAGTTTGATAAACTGGCACTAACACTGATGGAAAAGTGACTGAGTTAACTAAGTGTCAGCAAAGCTGAATGATTATTAATCACTAAAATTTCTGTTGATGGCTGGTGGAACGGATTCTGATAAGGGATCACTCGTGAGAAACTTCCTAATTTTGGTGAAAAACCGGCTCAAAGTTTGGCTTGCTTCATGGCACAGACCTATGATTTTCCACCACACAAGATGGCATTTACTCACCGTCTTGTGTACAAAGGTGTGTGGATAGACGACATTTTTTGAACCACTCAAGAATTCAGCCCTTGAGATGCTGACGTGTATTGGAATGCTTAATACGGAAGCAGTTTCAAAACTAACCGGGAGCACTGTCCAGCAGTGCCCAATAGAAAACTCAGGAAAAACTCTGTTTCTAGATACTGGCCACCAATTAAGCGAAAAACGACCCACATCGTCATGTGTGTAACTCAGTCAAGCGAATAAAAATGAGGAAGGCCACTAGTGTTAGTGATTACTTGGTCCACTAGCATACGTTTTAGAAGAAACTTTCGTTGAGATTGTTTGTGCCTTGGTAAAAAAATATCTTCCTCTACACTATTAACATATTAGTTAGCTGTTCCGCGGGACCAGCGTATCCAATAGATACCATCTATAACTCTTGTTCCCGTGTGAAAAGTACTTGTATTCCTTTAATTTGTTTAGTTATACTTCTGGACACCTAAACTATGATCACTCCCACTCCTTATATATTACGTTTTCAGAAAAATACGGGTTCCAGATACCACTTCGTCAACATAATATATACTGAATATATAATGATATTTTATGTTGTCAAATGTTCCATAGTGAGTTATAACTTGACGTTATGGTGATAGCTACGATTGATCTTAAACAGTTGGATTTTTAGTCCGATAAAACTGTGTTTACGGACGTCGCGCACCAGAACCCAATTATCTTTGATATATTAACTTCATTATCTCCCGAGAGATTATTATTATTATGAAGCCCCAAAGCAGCTGTACCTGTCCCCGTTCGGAGTTTCGAGCTATTTCCAGCTGGACCATCAGAGCTATTCCATGGACCCATAAAATATGTTATTTGACCTAAGCTGAATTCAGCCCCCTGAATTTTCGGTTGTGTTCTAAGGGAGTCATCTGAGACAGGTTTTAACCGATTACTCAGAAAGAAGTCGAGTGGAGTCAAAGGGAAGTCCGGGGCTTAGCAACTATATCTTGTTGAGCACAAAAATTTATCTACCATAACCAACCAGCGAACTGCGAACTTCTGTTCCATTTTTTCTAAATCCATTGCTTCATTCGAATGTGCCCAGCGCCTGCACCTTAGTCATTTTCAAGCCTCTGAGTAATCTGACTTTTGTAGTATTGCAAGTTTGGGGTTCTGCAGGATAGGGATTTTTGCTCATAGTCACACCATTCTCGTTTGTGTGGATGAGGAGTTTCTTTTCACTACGCTATCCAATGGATTACGTTTGGGCAGTCTTTTTTGCGGATTTCCACCCATCTGATTGCGGTATTTTGAATTCCCTATGGACTGACCTTGAGCTCATTTCAGATGCGTGTTCCGAAAGTGCAATTCCTGCCACCATATGCAAGATTGGTCTCAGTAAATCTCGTTCGTTCGATCAGCTTGACAAGATGCTTGGGCTTCCGGCATTAGACAAACTTAGGCTGTCAGATCGCTACTCACTCCAAAAAACATTCGATGTGTGAATACTGAAGTATACTGGTACGGAATCTGTAGTGACAAATTTTTCAGATTCTATCGGCCTACCTGAAACTGCCGAAGATACATTTTTCAGAGTACTGTTTTGTACTTTTCCAATGGACAACTCGGTTAAATTTGGATGATAAACGCAGACTTCGTTACAACCAGTTCTCTAGGAGCAGACATCGATGTAGTATTTTACATTGTTTGCATCTGGTCAAATCCCTTTCCAGATGCTGCCGATTGACGCGCCACAATGCTCGATAGAGGGGTGTGACAACAGGATGAAGCGCCAAAGTTAGTCAAGCTTTCAAGGTGTTGACATAAGTGTAAGTGTTATCACTTTTCCTACGCAGGTCAAGTGTCACCTAATCTATGTGACAACAGTCACGCTGACCGGATAGATTTTGTTCCAACATGAAATACTGCAGGACACAACGTGTGAAATTAGGCTTTCTGCATATGCTTAGATGTACTCTAACGCTTGGTATTCTCTACCGGAATAGCGAGTTTACTCGAGCGCTTGCTAGCCACTATCGGCTTTAAATGCCACTTTGCGTGCCATGTAGGAGGGAAAATTTTAGTACACGTGATGAAAATGGTAAACGATGCACATAGCGTAATCAGAAAAAATGAACTGAACTCTGATCATGGCAAACTTCACGTCGTTTATATAACCAACAAATCTTCATTGCTCTACGGAGAGTTCGTCCCTCAGTAACTCCATGATGATATTTACTTGACAAGCCTTCTTCCACAGTTAGTGAAAAGTCCTTGACAGCCATCGAGGGGTTCTTCTTGACGTCCATCTGGTCGGTGTATTCCACGATGTAGCTACTACTTGAGCGCACACTGTACAAGCTTTACGAACCCCCCATTTACAATATTCTTCAACTACATCTGGTGCGCAATGACTGCTTCCCGTTTTATTTGTTACGATCTTTGAGATATTGCAATATATATTCCAGAATATCGTACTAGCTAAGACATAAGGCGACACTGGTACTGTGCAGTCAATTAACTAAATCATAGACGAAAATGTCAGCTGGGAGTGGTTTGCAAATGAATTTTTTTCAAAAAAGATTGTTGTAGTTATCTAGGTGTGTTTCGTCTGGTGACCGTATAAAAATCTCATTGTCATCAAGGTTTTTGCGGCTTAACATTAGACACATTATTGGTCATCTGCTGCCTTTCGATGGCATGATACTTGTTTTCAATACCTATACCGGTAATTAATCTGTACATTCACTTCCGGAAGATAGATACATGATGACATGATACACTTTGGTGTGAGTGAAAAAATGTAACATGTTTACCCTCAGTCCCTTCTGGTAACATAAAATAATAAATCATTATCGGGAGTGAGCAGAAGAGCTTTGATATGAACTAGTCCATTATGGTTGCCTCAGTTTCGAAAAGAAATGATATACTAGAACGGTTGGTGAAAGGAAGAACGTGGAGCCTAAATAGACTGGGATACGAGGGTGTTACCAGTACTCCAGCAGCGCACGCTGGGCGAATCTGAACTTTCACGTCTGAACAGGCGAATATATTCGCACTTGCATGGTGTGTGGAGTCACCAGAACTATTTCGCCACAACAGTGATGTATGTGTGCTTTCTGAGAAATTCCGCAACCACGAACACCTGAAATAAAGAGTGTCCAGCAGCTTCCAAGCGTCTGTGGTGATGCCTGACTGGGTAGTCCTGACCCACTGGGATCGACACAACCAAGGTATATTACTGGGTGGTCGTTCGAGGCTTAAGACTTTGAGCTCACACTGCTCAAGTGCGAAAATGTTCACCTGTCTATACGTACAAGTTCAAAAGCGTTTAGGGCGCTGGCGGATTGGTGGTAACAAGATCGCCTCGCATTTCAGATGTGCGGAGTTCAAAACTCGGCACAGACGTTGGATACGCACTAATGATGAGCTCTAATAAGGGTGAAATTCGAGTCCGATGTTTCCCCCCTTTGGTATGGACTCAGCAAAGTTATCGCGCCAGGACACGAGGACACTTGTTCGAACGGGAGTCATGTGGATGTGTATTCTACAAAACTACGCAACTACCAATATCTGAGACTGTGACACGCTAAAAACCAAGAAATGATTATTGTGACATCGACATGTTAGAGGTATGGACGGCCACCCGGCTAAATTTGAAATTTGGCTCAGCTTTCGTCGATCAGTCGTTCGGATATTTCTCAGTGTGCCGCTGAAAATCAACGCAGACAAGAGCAAACCTGCCAGTAGGTTCAATTCAGCTAACCCGTTATTTCCTCTGGGGTGTTTTTCGGAGACCTCACACTGTAAGGGGTGAACAGTAATTTCGATGTTTTTGAAGTATGTCACAGAGACGCAGTTTGACTAAGAAAAAAACTTATGGAAATCAGTTCTCACCATGAATCTAAACACAACTCATTCAACTTGCACACTTGCTCAGGCAGGCTTCAATGGCTTTATATGGACACGTAATGTAATATAGGCTACAGTGGATTGAAAAGCGAATACGGAGCCACCAGTCTCACCTCATCTTAGCAACATGTTGAAAGCCGAAACAGCGTATAGTAAGAAATAACACGGAGGAGAACAGCGGTTGAATGCCAGCGACTAAGGCAGATTAGTCGCAGAAAGATTCCCCCCGGTTTTCATGCAGCATTTTGGGAAATCATGAGATTTGCGAAGTCATTTCACCCGTACAATGTATTGGGAACGTAAAGGTTGACGTCACCAAGATAAATGCTATTGTTCGGTATCGATCTATCGACTGAATTCGGATGCAATTTGGCCCAAAATAGCGAGAAAACAGCGGAACCCGTGGGCTTAACGGGACTGTTTGTTTCACGCGATAATAGAAAATTTATTCAAGGGAATATAGTTAGGTTGCATGTAAAAATGTTATGAGCAATCGCAATGCGAACCATTTTGAATACTTACAGAAGATTTACCTGTCATCAGGTTTCATTTCAATTAACCGATGTAGTTGGTATTACACGCGTGCTCGGACAGTTCAAACTCGATGACTGATTTACCGATAACAAGAAGCCTTGTTCACTGTGGGACAATATGACGGCTTGCAAACCAACTTTATGTTCAAAAATCCAGGTAAGATTAAAATGTCTGCGTGATGGTTGACTGATCACAATATCCTTTCTTGGGTGTACCACTTAGCAAGAGTAACAGGTGTCTTCCATCTGGTTCGTGGTCTTCAAACATGATTTGGAAAACGTAGTATCCCTTATCGTTCACGGATTCATCGAAACCTCGGCCTGCCGTCCACGCCCAGATTTCTGTTTGCAGTCCTCAGAGCCTGACTGTGCGACTTATTCTTCATTTTAACTTTTAAATGTAACTTTCAATCTGTGGTTGCTAATATCGGGGAAAGTACTAACCACTACCTCACGCGAGGTACGATGATACAGGTAGTGACAATCCTGTTAATGATGAATCCATTGATGGCGAAAAGGAGAGGGGATGATGATCATCTCACTCGAGTTCATAAAATTCCGTAGTCAGCTGGGCAACGCTGGTAGCATTGTTGTCAACTGGAGATGTTATGACTGAAGTCGTTTCAACTTTCCAAAGGTCTAGAGAACTAAGAATTCAACTTGTCTATCGGTTCATCATATCAGCATTTTAGATTTTGCAGTTACATAGACTGTGGCCTCGACAAAATGTGTACAGCGAATTCGATAATCTGTGCGTACTGTGTGATTCGGTTACAAATAAAAACACTGATGTGGGGTATTTCGATAGCACGTTATTTTTTGATTTTTTTGCAGTTAGTGTGCCAATTTTTAAGTGGCACTTTGTATCTGTGACAAGAACATACTGCTACAACCTAGTGAAGGTTAATTATGGTCAAAACCCGATGTCATCTGCGTAATCTTGAGATTTCGGCAAAACACAACACCGTGTGGGTAATTTTAAAGGTGGAGAAAGTTTTCGCATCCACAGTATTTTAATCAGAAGAAATGACAACAACTCCAAATATGGTTTGTCAAATAGTAACTATTCTACAGTTGGCTTCATGTCAACATTCCTGAACTGAAATCATCAGCTAAGATGGGGCCAAGCAAAGACCCTCCTTCCCTTATGCATTTTTTGGCGGATAGTGCTGCCGAGAAAAACGCAGAAATGCCTGTACTCAGGAAAATACTTATGTAAGCTTGTTGATCCGGATTGAAGAAGACAAATTTGAGAGATTAAGCACCAACTCGTATCTCAAGTGAGGCTTCAAAAAAACTAACTAGCTTCGGTCTTGTCCTTAAAATGTATGACACTTCTAACAGGCTGTTTTTCTTCTTTTGGTGTAGTTGCCACTATAGCACAAATTAAGATCCTTCCTCATTTTTGCACTAGCCTATATTTGGGCTGCAAGTTCCACTGATTTATTCCATCCACCTGTCCTTGGCTAAAATATCCGCCATCCTATACTCCACCCAGTGCACAAGAGCCAGCAAAGATGAAGGGGAAATCTCAAAACACCGGTGGATAATTTGCATACAAGGGTGAGCGGCTTGGGACATTTCCGCTAATTTGCACCATTTTGAGGATTAAATCAGCTATCTGAGCAGCGGATAAGTGCATTCCCTTTGGTAATAACTGTTTTTATCACCAAGGAAAGAAAAACAAACGTGGACACAAAAAAATAGACTGTATGCTGTTAAAACTGACTTTGGTGGAGAATAGCTGTCCCGTCGGAGTTTTCATTAAGTACTTATTTCTATAATGTTGTATAGTTATATCTTATAGACAGCACTTAAATTTCAGTGTGAATTATGCCAAAAAGTATTTCTGTACTCTTGAGAATCGGCTATGACAACTCCAGTCGCCGCGTTCACTGTCATAATGCCACACGCATTCTGAGAGAGGCAAGAAATAATAAATGCTTTCAGAAAAACAAAATTAGTTCAAGAACATCAGGAAGTAAAACTTCAGTTGAGTTGCCTCCCGTTAAAACCAGATTAGTGTGAAAATGAGTATATTTTTGCTTAACTAGTTTATTCTTAAATTAACATAACTTAACTTAACGATCGTCCTGGATTTGTTGCTTTGAAAAAGAGACAGGTACCTATACAAATAAGATTTTGATACTTTAACGTGTGCTAGGTTTGTTATCGGTAAACGCCCTTATTGAGCTTGGTTGCTGTTCCAAGATTAAATATGCAGTAGGCAATATTTCAGTCCGCCTCATCTCACAGAAAAACGGCATTGAAAAATTGACACTAGTCCAGTCACTGTATGCCAACCGAACAAAGCGTTGATAGAAATTTCCGTTCTTTTTAATGTGTAAAAATTAGAACACAATTGTCATACTGTGGACATGGGGAAATGGGGCCTTCTTATCAAGTCTAGCGTGATAACCAACATTATGGCTCTTTATCAGGAACAGCTGATCTCTCAATCAAAGTCAATTTCCAAAGTCTGATTGCTCGCTCCAATAGCCAAAAAATGTTAAGATTTCGCTAGTAGGGCTAGAAATTAGCATTCTAGTACGCCAGAGGTGACAATGTGGCTGACTTAGGTATCTGTGCATTCAATTTCCCATTTGTCGGACAAGTATTGACAATGTCCTCATTCATGAATTAGGAGGACAAGCAGCACCAAACTCGTCATGCGTTTCCACGTTGATTTGATTGATCGATCCAGATAGGGACAAGTCGAGCATATACAGCGGGGCACTACTTATGTCGCTACTCATTTCTACAGAGTAGGCGATACCATCGGATAGCCACATATCTACCAAGCTCTACATTAGTGGTCATAAAAGGTACATTTCACTCGGGAATCTGTGAAAATCCGACACAAGTTCCCAGCCAGCATTAGGAAGCACGACCAGTAATGGTCACAAATATAGCCCTTCAAATGGGTCCTAATCAAGAGACCAGGCTTACCTCATATCTTATGAAAGTGTGGACAATAAAAGTTTGGAAAACATGGGATTTCAAACATGGTTTGATGTCTTAATATTATGGCGACCACCCCCAATATTGTCATAGCTGCTGGTGTGAAGTTGAAGTATCCGAGTGTCTCCTGGAGAAAACAAACCTGATCTGTTTGCAACCTGTTTATGTATTAGAGTGCAAAACAGATGAGATTAACTACTGACATGAATGGTAAAACAGAGACCATAGATATTAAACACCTGCACAGGGACACAAAGACATGCGTAAATCGTGGTAGTTGATACAGAACCTTCGAAGTTTTATTTTGTTCTGGTCGAGTGCCACGGTGCCCCAAGATCCCAAATAAATGCTTGATATGCTGCTATATTTTACTAGGTATTCTCGCTGGTCAGAAAGGCCTTGAGCGATAAATGCGAAATGGAAATAGAAAACGGGCTAAAATTCGATAGCCCAACCGGCACTGCGTAGGTCCAGAACCTTTTTAAGTAGGATTGTTTTCCTAAACATCGCAGTGAAGAGCAAACCCAGCCAAACGGGGTAAAAATCTATTCTTGCTTCATCTCCTACGCATTTATAGAGAGGCAAATTGGCTCTAAATTTTTGTAATGCTAGTAAGCTAGTACGCTGGTATCCTGCGTTAACTTTCCCAATCTGGTAGTGTGTTTTGGGTCTCCTCCGATTTACAGTTTAGTCCTCCACTCTTTGTCCATCGGCGTCCCCGTACGTACTCATGTGGATCTCGTGATGGTTAATATTTTCATATATCCAGCTTATGAACCCGTCAAAGCCGGTCCATGTGCTCGCCGTACTGTTTCAATAAATTGAGTCCTTATACTGAGACATTACAAAACTTCAAGCAGAACAGTAGTTAAATAGGGCCAACATATAGTGGTCATCCACACGCCCGAGACTAAAGTTCCATTAGGAGTTTGGTCCTGTTAGGAAATGGAAACCAACAGTACGGGATTTGTATAATGAGTAGAATGATGCATTCTGCAGGTGTGCTCGGTCTGCATTTGCCGCTCTATTGACAAAAACAGATCACTCAAAGCTTACCAACAATCCCAAAAGCAGTCTCAAGGTTAATGGACTCCTTTGTACATCAAAGTGATCGACACGAATGGGCATTTTACCCAGTAAAATGGATAAATTCATTGCATTGATCACCAAAAATAATGTTGGTCATTGCAAGCTGATTCGGTGCTGCTGGTTGTGAGCACAAACTACATTTTGAACAAAACAGAGGAATATGACTGATATGTTTGTTGTGATCTAGTGCACAAATTGTTGTACAGCAGTCATCAGCACACAAAACGAGGTAGCTTTATGAGGTAACTTCGTAAGAACTGAAAACTGTGCGTAAAGCTTAAGGTTTTCATGGTAATTTTACGTTACAAAATGTTCGGAATTTCCTATTTGTCCGTTCATTCGGGAGATTATAAGAAGCAATTTAACATCGTGATCTTTGAGACCTGCAAATGCACAACAAAAAACATTGGCAAATTAGTGAAACATGACATATCTCTGTCCACGAACAGGCTGGTAAAGACGGAGTTCTATGAAGAAAAACCAAGGCTTCTGTGCATCCTAAAGTTTAACCGGCTAAAACGACTGGCAACAAACTAACTCTGGGTGAATATTAAATTTCAACCATTAGTATAGCAGTGACTCTAAATTCCTTTGAGCCGTGGTTATTCTTTTTACCCTTCTTAACATAAATGTTTTCCACCTGCGACCAAGAGCGCAAACGGAGAATGGTTGACAGTAAACACTTTGTTTGATGACATTGATTGAATAGAATGTGGTGCGCCCACGTGAACTGGGGGCGTGATATTAAATACTCAGTCTGAAGGCAACTTTCTAAAGACGGCATGGTACACACCATAGCACGATAAGAAATCAATCATGGGCAGTGTCTTCGTTTACGGTAGAAGCAAATGAAATTCCGGGCATGAGTTTGTAGTTGTGCACCACATATGGAACTCAAATTTCCGATTAAGATTCCACTAGTTATTAACGAATTTCTAATGTTCTAGGTAATTACAGAATTTCTGCAACTGTTGTCCCATGTGGCCGCTCAGCTCAGTTATTTTGTTAATGTCGCCGCAGATGGCATCGCTAATGAAGGATAGTTGAAGTACGTCATGAAACATAACCATGAATAAGCTCAAAATGCTACGCCTGAGGTAATGTAAGTATGAAGAAGAATTTTCTAATGGTTGTCAGATTTCATCAATCATATCAGAATTCTTTGTTCCTCATAGAGTTTCACCAATCTAACGGGCTGGATGACAACAACTGTTGCTGTGGTACTGCGGACCAGGTGGATTTAACTTATTCTTACTAAGCTCGTACTCTTCTTACTCCTAGTTGCCTTTTTCCGTCTTGGGGCTATCACTTGCAAGCCAACCTATCGGTTAACTAATAAGATGTCCTTACAGGGGCAATTGTTTCCTGGGAAGTTTCAACTATCACGGCCGCAGTATACACTTTTAACCAAAGCGTTTGGGTAGATGGCATAATTAAGTACAGAAAAACGGGAGCATGGTCGCCGTTATCCGTTGGTAACTTCGTCTTCGATAAGAATAAGGTCTCTTGTGCAGCACTTGTCGGTGAGTGATCATTAAAACAAAACAGTCACACCTACTGATAGTAGCACTACATAAATACAAAACAAAGTTTTCCCGAAACTATGCTTGGAACTTCAGAAGTCATTTCCTCAGGAGGAGGTGCTGCCAGCAGTGCGTCACAACTCATTACCCGTCAAAACTGTTTATCCAGTGATGATGTCGTTCGTATTCGATATACTTTTGAAGTAATGGAGAAGGACAATATCCCAGATTGAATGGATGACCGTATCTTTGTTTGCCCTAGTTGTAACCAGGTGTGAGAGCTTATCAAATCGCAAATTGCTGTCACATGACCTAGGCGGGAAGCAATCAAATCTTCTAAAGTTGTCTAGTTTGTCTGATTAAAAAATAGGTATGGTGGTGATCCATAACTAAGGGCAGGCTGAAAGGTTCCGATTAATTCATATAAAAAAAACTCATCGTGTTTTGCACGGTACGCAGAATTTGATTACTTGTAGATCGTTTTCACTTAGGCGGTGGATTTTCCGAAGATTACTTAGCTATAAAACTAATGTCACAGAGTTACGATTAACTGCGTTAGCATATTGCCCAACTGAGGTTACGATTTTAGTAGTCAGTTCAAATTTTCTTCAGATGACACTTTAAGGAGATGATGACATCTTCATCAGGAAATGGAACTTCTGAACTACTGAACACTTTTTCAACAGATACACTCATTTGCACATCAATTTGTTTTTCAAGGGAGACTTAACCGGATCTTTCTTTATAATATTATTCACCTAAGTTTTAAGCACAAAAACCGACTCTTATTTAAGCTGGCACGAAATTCGAGATATTGTAATACATTTTCATAAGAAATCTACCAACTCGGTTGCTGGAAACTCATCGACAGTCCACGAATGACGTCAACCTTCCTGGTGTAACAGTGATACTACTGATGGGGAAGACATGCGAGTAGTGTGCTTTCTCGTAAATGCGCTTTGCGCCTCTTGAAAAGTGATATATATTGAGGACTTCGTGGAGTTGATTTGTAGCATTTGCCTGGATTTAAGCAACGGTCAATGAATATCCAGGAAAGTTCAGGAAGACGCGTTCAAAACAAGATGGATATTCAGTTTTTGTAAAGAAGATGCATATGGGAGTTTCGCTTCCATGTTCGATAGTCTGTCACTGGTCAGTTAGCATTTTCTAATAAATAACTCCGTAGCGAAGGACTTCTTTGCACTGGTAGAAGCAGTACCTGCGTTTCTGCATGGACTCAGATTTAAAGATATCAATTTTACAGTTGAACCGGAATATAACAATCAATAGCTATTCTTGAACGTTCACTTGTGCTTGGATGGAAATTTTTAAACATGCGTTTATCAAAGGAAGAAATACCCAGACCATTTAGTATATTTTGACAGCGGTCAACTAGTCAGTAAAGACAACATCCGAATTTGTCCAACAGGGAAGAGACAACGAAAATTTGGGAGAAACGGGTGGAGTTCTCCTACTTCGAACGTTCGCAGGCAGTAGATATCCATGGGGATTTTAGATGATTAAAGGTGAGTGTCGAGAACACGGCAGCAACGACAACGTCAAAAAGGAAACGATCAACGAGGCCAACCGGCGACACTTTTGCGAACCAAAAATACAACTGAATTCACAACAATAAATGCCGCAACAAACATAATACTAGTAGCCCACCATCTACTTCCAAATGGAGGGAGCTAAATCCATACTCAAATGACAGAAATTGTGGAAGAGCAAGAAACATCATGGCTTTACCGAATCGAATAAACTGACTGCAATAAACGTACGGCAGAGGAACGGGAAGAAAACTATTTACGTGGAGAATTTCAGCAAAGAAAAATCAAGAGGGGCAAAAATTGAATCCGGATAGCGCAAAGGCCTTGACACGTGGAAATACAAGGCGAATGAGGAAAGCCTGTAAGCATCGGACTCAGGCCCAACTCATTAAATTAACGGTTAGAAATGTACCCAATATGCGCTCCGCCAAGAACATGGTATCCTCAACTTGGTAGAACAACCTACAATGAGACAGGCCGACCAGGGAAATCAGAACCTACTGATCGTTACAACCAGGACAGTTACTGGGTCGTCGTTCGATGAGTCGGGCACACCAATCACATCGCTCAAGTGTGAACACGTTCGCCTGTTCCGACGTGATTATTCAAATGCGTCCAACCTGCGTTGGTGGGGTAGTGGTTACACGCTCGCCTCGCATGTCAGATGTCCGGCGTTCAAATCCCGGCACGGCCACTGGATATGCAATTCTGATGAGCTCTAATAAGAGAGAAACTCGAGTCCAGTGCTTCCCTTTGATGTGGACTCACCGGAATAATTACGCCAGAACAGGGACACGACCTTTCAAATGAGAGTGGTGTGGCTATGAACAAATATACCTATCCCGCAAAACCCCAAAATTGAAATCAGAAACGCGTCAAATCTCCTCACAATACCAACAAAAATAATACCGACACGCGGGAATAGAGATTAAGGTGATGGATTATACAGACCAATCGAAGAACGGGTCAAACAGACGACCAACAGAATCAATAGTCCTAACGAACTTCGCCGACAGACTAACGATGCGTACACAAACACAAACATAGCACTGACCCACGTCATCACACAAAAGCGCCGTTAAAAATGACGCAACTTTAGTCTGCTAAGCACGCATGATTTATCTCAACCCGGAAGGGAAAGTAGCCAAATTCAGCGAACGATCTCCAGTTTACCTGATGGCATTCCCCTTTCATTATCCAGCAGTAATACTTTTCGACTTTATACATTATACACAAAACCCGGAGGTCAACTGTCTCCCGTTTGGCAGTTTTCCCTTCCAAGAATCCTTTTCCGTCGTTTCATAGTAGTATGCTGTTGTTTGTTCAAGGCGAAAAAAACAAACTAAGCTGTTAAACTATGTCCATGTTTTGTCATTCGCAAGCCGAGATGAACTTTCCCCAGGCATTATAAACCTGTGTTGTGTTTAAACCACCGGAAGGGGTTGAAAACTCACAATTTCGTCTTAACTTGCCGTAAGCCAGACACCAATTTCAACCAGAAAACAAAGTGATGCACCAAACGGTCTGCGTATGAAATATTTTCTGCGACTGAGGATTCTGGAATTAGTGTGTCTAGAATTAATGCTGCCGAAGTTCTTTAATAATCTGCCCAGATTGGTAGAGACATCATCGCGTCGTCATTGTACACTATTATAAACATGTCCTTTTGCATAAACACTCATACTGAGGATTCTGGAATTAGTGTGTCTAGAATTAATGCCGCCGAAGTTCTTTAATATTCTGCCCAGATTGGTAGAGACATCATCGCCTCGTCATTGTACACAATTATAAACATTTCCTTTTGCATAAACACTCAATGCGAGAATAAAAACGAGCTTTCTGTTTAAAAACTATACACAAATTAGAAGGAAAAAACCAGCACTACCGTACTGCCAGAGCAGAGTCGCCAATTTACCGTCAGCTCTATGTTATTCTTCAACATAAACTGGACAGAATCATACTTGCACCTTAATTTGGTTTTAGAATTAAGATCAATGGAATAAAATTACTTGCAATCTCAAGAAATACACTCAATTACAATTCACAAGAGACTCAACTGAATCTCTCGTGTATGATATTCTACAATTAAATGTTCTGCACACAGGCCGCCGCATGATTCAGTTGGCACGATATTCGACATATTGCAGTATATTTCCATAAAGGAAACTACTCACAAGTTTGCTGATAACTCTTCGACAGCCCATGATCGGTTTTGCCCTTCTTGGGGCTCATCAGGTAGGCGCATTCCCCGAGAGATTCAGTTGAGTCTCTTGTGAAAATCAAATTGATTTGCAAATTAGTGTATTTCTCGAAAACAGTCAAATTTGCGTTCAAGTAGATCATAACTTTGACTGAAAATCGGGGACTACGCCTACCTGATGAGCCCCAAGAAGGGCGAAACCGGTCGTGAGCTGTCAAAGAGTCTTCAGCAACTTTGTAAGTAGTTTCTTTTACTTGCAATTTCATTTGATTTGTGGAACCCAAACGAATCTCACCCTGATTTCACGTTTCCTGTGGCTAGCTCTTATTAAATGTATTACCTTAGGGTGCCTCATGTTTCACTTTAGACTATATTCGAGAGTTCGCAATACATCTTTGTTCAGAGATCACTAAGGTCTGTTCGACAGTCTACGACTACTTTGGTTCCTTTTGAAGCTCACCGGGTAGGCGCAGTCATTGACCTTCTGTCAAAAATAAGTTTTTGGGAATTCAGATTTCCGAAATATATGCGGTGACATTTTGAAGGATGTTACATGAAGAAAATGTAATGGGCCACCTTTAATATTGCCCAATAAAACACGAAGCTACCTGGGCGCAGCAAACTTGGTTGAGGAACGTCATAACCAAAAGATTCAGCTGGGATTCAGTTTACTCCTCCTTTAAAACCAGATCCGTTTACAAGTAACTCTATTTCGTAAACTATCGTGTTTTTTAAGAATTGGATTCATTATTAGTCCAAATTTCATAACAAATCATCAGACGGATTTCTGACGTTATGCATTCGCAGGGGCTATTGAAGTAATATGTTTCTTCCCCGGGTTACATACTTGATGGTCCAAAATTATTGCAGCGCCTATTGTCCCTGCAGCAGATTATGATTGGCACGTTTACAATTTGCTGTTGTGTTGTAAACAAAAGATAACGAGTAAACTGGTTGGTCGTCTGTGTAGTTGTGCTCATTTTCTCGCTCGGATCCGATTGTTTACTGAGTGTTTCCCGATTTGCCTCTGATTAAGGTGATAACTGAGTTGCTTTGAGTGGGGTGAAACATAAACAAGCCACCATCCATTTGCGCACTTAATATGCTTTAGTTTTACAATATGTCAAAAGCATGCAATAATCTTGGGTACATCTGTACAACTGTGCGTGCGCAACCAAGCAAAAAATACTGAACCCAGTATAATATTGTTTTTGGACGTGGTAAAAAGCTATTTCAGCAATCAAAAAGGTTTGACAGTTTTGAATTAAAAACAGCTAAGGCTTAGACTTATTTGATTGCTTGTGTTGAATGTGATGTAGACAGCCAAATTGCATTATACATCCCATTAATTATTTGAAACTTATCGGCACGTCAAAACCATTTATTGTCAAACTTTTAAGTGATTCCACTAGTTCTACAAAATGACTTGTCCATCGCCTCGTCAGTCTAAAATTTATTGAGTTTACTGCAAGTCTGGAAGTGCGGAGTAAACTTCGTTCCAAAATAACAATAAAGTTTTCGATTCTGTTCAGAACACCTGGGGTAAGAGTTGTTATGCAAGACGGGTTCGATCGAAATTGTCCCAAATATCTCTGTCGTCCAGAGGCGAGGTGGAGATAATTGCTTAGCGCACATGATACCCACCTTGAGAGTCCACTGACCAAGCGTTTAATGCTTTGCGATGCCAAAAATCACCGGTTTCAATTTTTCGCAATAAAATTTTACCACCTATTTGTAGCCTGGGATAATTTAAACCTAGAAATTCAATCAATACTTTTACGTTACCTCAGAACACTCACGTGATGAGATATTTCAGGAACGTTTACAGTCGAATTCGTAAAATTAACATTTATCGGACCCAAAAATAGTTGATGCTGAAAGTGACATTAAAGTGAACGTGGTTAGAGGAAATCAGAACAACCGTCACCAACAGTTGTCTGCTTTATGATTAGATTGTCCGGTGGACTATGATAGACAGGAGTGATTGCTGGGCCATTTCATAACAGGAAATACGAAGAAAAAGGGTCAGGCTAGCTAGCACTTTTTTCAAATGGCGAAGGCCGTCATCAATAAGAGTAAAACTTAACAAGTAATGGTGCAGAAGTGTGGTAAAAGTTCTGAAGGCATGGAGTTTGTTGCATGAGATAGTGGAAATCGATAGGAGGAAAATGGTTACGTAACGGGAAAACTCCACGTGGAATAAGCTAGTACACAACTTTTTATAAATTGCATAAACGAGCTGCAGCATTAAAAATTTGTTGCATGAGATAGTGGAAATCGATAGGAGGAAAATGGTTACGTAACGGGAAAACTCCACGTGGAATAAGCTAGTACACAACTTTTTATAAATTGCATAAGCGAGCTGCAAGCATTAAAAAACCGACTGTTCGTGAACTCTGTGAATGTCCATAAGGTTGATTAATTTTCTATGGTAGTAATTTATCGTGACTGGTCTTCAATAAGAGCAGGGTTTGAAACGAATAACGCGGACCTACCTAAATACTTGACATATTACGGTTATACCACAAGATACCACTAAAAACACCGAGAACAAAGCCCACTCTGTGCATACATCTACTTCCGGAGGCATATGAACAAAGGTACTTATGAGCCAGTGGGAAGTTCTGGCCATCAAACAAATCCCTGGTGGTGGAAGCTAAGGCAAGACTTTTGCTTGTCTGCAAAAGGGTGTATATTCGTAATTAATTATATGCCGTGATTTAATTTCAGTGTTACCGGAGGACGTAAACCGAATACTACTTTGACGGTTGTCGACAGATATGGATTCCCAGGCAATTCACATGCGCGCGAACATCCTTTAAGCATGCCATTCTTTACTAAGCTCCCTTTTGATTGTAGCAACTTTTCCAATCTACCTGCATCGGACGTGAAGCTCTTCTCCCTAACAGGCTTTTTTGCTTCTTGACTTGAGACCAAATTTGGCAGTGGCTGATGGGCCAAACCAACAACGTGGATCAGGTAACGCATAGTTAATTCAGTTATCAATTCTTTCGTTTGCGGATAACTTGTAAGCCTACGGATAGGCGCCTGTCTCAGAGGACTATCCAACATTTTTACTTGGGCAAATGTGAATGGGTTGTAAACGCATTCGTAACCCTTATTATGATTATTAGCTAATCTCTAGTGTGCCGCATAGTATATTCAATCATTCTGCCCAATGTTTTGTGCCAATTCACCTGAAGATATTTTAGTTCCGTAGCTCGAACAGGCCAAGTCTCACAGTAATACAACAAAACAGCCCGTACCGTAGCCTGATACACACATCCCTTGAGATTTAGGAGTATGCCGCTTTGAGGCCATAAATGTCCGAAACGCGATCCGAGCCTTAGAGGTTTGTGCACAGGCCCCATCTGTCACGTAACAATCAGAACTAATATAACTTCCAGGGTACGTACAACTCTCCACAGATTCGAGTGTGTCTCCCCGGATTGCAAGTGG